CGTGGCCCGAAATCCCTGTCCCTTCCTGGTTGTGCTGAGTTGTGCCCAGGTTATCAGAAGCTCTAAATCAAAACTATTGCCTTCATTCTTTTTTTGCTCAAGTCATTTGCACAATTACAGTAATTGCTCCTTGATATTTCCAGGCCACTGAGAAAAATGGTAAAAATTAGTTCTTGCAATCACATTATAGGGACGTTCCTGGAAACATCATCTCTTATCTCATGAGCACTAATGAATTAATTTTGTTTTCTTTCTTTTAGCAACTGGGTGGTCATTTTGCACATTCTGAATTCATTTCAAGTTTAAGAATCGTAGACTGGTTTGGGTTGGAAGGGACCTTAAAGGTCATCTAGTTCCAACCCCCCTTGCCATGGGCAGGGACACCTCACACTAGACCAGGTTACTCAAAGCTCCATCCCACCAGGTCTTGAACATGTCCAGTGATGGAGCACCCGCAGCTTCCCTGGGCAACCCATTCCAGGGTCTCATAAACCCCACAGTAAAGAATTTCCTCCTTGCATCTCATCTAAATCTACCCTCTTCGTGTTTGAAACTGTTACCCCTTGTCTTATCACTACGTTTCTGTCTCTTGGCCTTGTATCTTCCATGCTTCCGTGAGCTCTCACGTGCAGCTACAGTCTAAACTATATAAACCATACATGATACTGAACTATACATAGCAAACAATACACAAAGGGAAAAACAAAACAAACAAACAAAAAAACCAACCACCTGTACACAACACAATCCCTCACTTTGCTTCTGTTAACCTTATGTAACTGAGTTAAACTAATGAGTGCACAAAAAAAATCTGCCATTTTGCCTCTTTTCCTTTGTCTTTTAAACAGAACAAAACAAGCTTCCTAGTAAATCAGAAAAAGGAAAAAAAGAGGAAACATTAAAGAGGAAAAATCTTCCAGAAACAATTGGCATTTTCCACAGACTTTATTGGATTTTTACATGGCAATACACAGTAGTTACGTTGTCCTCTTCAAACACAAATTAAAATATCCTCATGGTATCAGTTGTATGCACACACACAAACTTCCTGACTTCATCACTTGGTTTCATATTCCACCCACATAAAATAACTAAGGTTCAGATGATTGGCAGCTTTGAGGGATGACCTTGCTTCCAACTGGTGAATGCAAGCAAGGGTTGTTGGAAACAGCATGCTACTTACACAAATCATTATCTGCTGCTGTTGATATGCTTGCCAATAGCACTGGACTGAACATAAATTGGAGTGTTTGTGCCTATTTCAGCACATAATTGTGTGTCAGTAGTCCCCCCTCCCCTCATGAATATCCAGTCACGTTGACTCACCAAAATCTAGCAAGAGCAAATCTGGAGGAATAATTTCACTTAGAAGCCTGCACCACATCTTCCCAGAGCTTCTGCAGCATTTGGGAAGAGCGAGGTCTTATGCTCAACTTACATGCATGTAAAATCATATCACAGAGTATTCAGAGAACACGAGTTCTGTCTGAGTTCTGAATTCACATCCCAAGCAGGAAGCAGCCCCTGACTGGAGGTGTTACACAATGTGGTATTTCTGCTCAACTAAAATAGCTCAAGATTATTTGACTCAAGATTGCAGAAGAATAAACAACACACAGCAAATTATTTGTGGATGGGAATTAGGAATAAAGTATCGGTTTTTGATCTGTTTGTAGACAAATGGTAAGTGACACAAAGTATGTATGCATTATGACTTGTTTACCTGGCTCCAGTTACTAAAGATAAAATGGCAGCGCTTGATATTGGACATAAATGGTCCACATAAAATTTTTCATCTTGGTACATAAATACTAGCCTACACTGTACATTCTTCAAGAACCAGGCTGGTAATACCTTATCAAAGTTATACCTTGAATAATATAATTCAAGAATATGCCTCAAATCTACCCCAAAATCTGGTGGGAGCTCCCTGAAATACCTTGGAAGAACCTTTCATCCTTTCCTAGGTTTGTTAATTGCGTTTCAGAAATAACCCCAAAGTCAGCACAGGTAAATCTAACATCCCTTGCACCACACCAGCAATGTGTCGGAAAGAGTCTCACTTCCAGCAAGGTAAGCAATTAAATGAGTGACAAAAGCTTAGTAAAGGAACATACCATTGCAAGGAACAATTCCAGCTGTATTTTTTTTGCCCTTACAAAGCAAATTCATGCCATTATGCTAAAATACATGCAACATGCAACACCATACAAATGACCACTGTAATAAAGAGAGTTGGGTTTTTCGTTGTTGTTGTTTGCTTTTGGCTAGGACAGCTTGCAATACCAAAAGATCTCCACTTGCTAGTTTTGAGTTTTAAAATGTGATGATCTTCAAAAGCAGAGAAGTTGTGCTTTAAGAAGGTAAAATTATGAGCAACATGTTTGATAATTGAATTTTGGAGGAAAAGTCCCACCTTAGGTTTAATAATATATTTCCTACACATTTTTCTAGATAACTTTTTTTTTTTTCCAACTTCACCATTGTTCTGTTAGTTACAGCACAGAAATATTTCTACCCTATGCAGGGAATATTCTCAACGTTAAGGAACTTTTTAAGTCACGGAAGTGTTAATAACCTTGTTTGAATGCTATAACTATTGCTGCTGGGAACAAGAAAGAAGACATTTTACAACGTGCAGTTTGTTCGAGTCACTGCTTAGAAACATCATTTGCAATTGTTTCATACTAAATGGAAGATCATTAAACTGTGCACTTAGTAAAAAGCAATGAGAGCAAACAGTTCCAAAGGTCAGCCTGCCTTTTCCAGTAACCAGCTGGTATGCAAACTGTCATAATTTTTCTTCACAATCCTCTTCCCTTCCCCCACACCTCAAACTTTCCTCACTATCTCACAAAATTTAAATTTTTGCTTTTATATGTACTTTATATACTCTTTTTTGTCTTTTGTTAATAAAACAGTATAAAAATAAGAGCAACAGTCAAGACTTACTGGGGAGTTTATGCAGTGATGACTAAAATCCTACACTGAAAACCATAGAAAGGGCAGAACTGGTATTTGTGCCAAACAAATGCACTTGAAAAAGAACAGTAACTTCTTTTTTTTCAGTTGAAAGCCTAGAGAAAGCTGATGTACAATATCTATAGATGCAATACTTCTATCTAACAGCTTCTATTGTTATTTTTCTAAAAGTGTAAAGGATTATCTGAGGTTGTGAATAAGCAAAAGGAGCTCTATCATACCATGTAAATTTAAATGCAACACTGTGAAACACATCACCAGTTTGTAAATAAAAACAATTGCATTGTTTGTACAATGTAAAAACAATTACCATTCAACAGTGTCTGGATATTTCTTATGGCAACTTTAGAGTAGGCACCTTTTCCTCCCTTTTTTTTTTTAAATTCTCCATCCCCCAGTGTTACTTCTAACAAACAGAAGCAAGAACAATGTAATGTACATGATCTGCTGTCCATCACGTATAATGATGACATTTCTTGCACATAGGAAAGCGAGCCCTTGTCAGTGCCTGGTGGTTACTGTCACATATTGGAGTCCTCATCTGTTATACTCGTGCTAGGAGAGCGAGTCTCAAAGTCTTTAAACATTTCATCTTCTTTCAACATGTGCTAGAAAGGAAAGGAGGGAAGAGTCATGGTCCAGGCCCTCATAACTGAAATTGGGGACCTGGGATGGTCCATCCTGTGCCCAGCAGCAAACATCACCCTCAAATCTTCTAGCCCTCATTCTGCTGAGGATGCCTTCACCCATGCTGGTGAAAGAACAGCTCAGTGCTGTCTGCTGGCCCAAACGGATCAGAGAGCACAGCTTGGGGCTGGGCTTCCACCCAGAAAATGGGCTGAGACCCTGTTTTGCCAATGACCAGGCCCAACAAAAATGGTAACACCAGCAGGGAGATGAACCAATATGCAGACTGTATTGTAGACAGAAATGTTACTATATGAATGACCACCGGGAGTACAAACAGGTCAACAAGCTCATACATGATCGATGCCACCCCCAACGATCCCACAAACGACATGACTAAGCCCACAACAGGTGGTACAAACAGTGAACCGAGGTTGCCCATAGTTGGCATGGGAAACAGCCAGACCAGCCAGTTAAACACATGAGAAAAAGGTGCCCACATGGCGACTCTCACCCGATCGGCCCGCGTTTGCAAAGGCCTAAACAGACCAGGGCCCAGCTCCAGGGAGAGTCAGGAGGTCTGCCCTGAACCAGGAAGCTCTGGGGAGTGCACTCCACAGACAGACACTCCTGACTCCCTGCCAGTGGTCCCAGCTTTTATCCCCAAGTAGGGACACCTGACCTTTGTCAACTCAATGTGGGACACCTGGGGCTCATTTCCCTTATGGCTCTTCCTGCAGGGCTGGCCACACCCTGGGGAGAAGCTATAAGGCAAACTCACCACCTCTTTATGAAGGGCTGTGGGAATCACCCATATGTCAACCTTAATTCAGGGGCTCGGGGTTCAAACCCCAGCATTTCAGACCCTCAGCTGGCAGTTCACCACTCAAGAGAAACCTGTTGGCCTAGAGCTGGTTGCCGTGTCTTCTGCCCTCTCTGAAGACTGATGGGTCAGTAAGGAGAGCTGGTGACCACAGGCCACCACTCCCAGCTGGGCGAACCTCCCCACCACCATGGGTAGGTATCCTCCTGAACCACTCATTTTTCTTTTCCCCTCTGACCCTGTACAAAAAAACAAAGGACCTCAGCTGACTCCTAATTCTGATGAGGCTTCACTATACCCATAGTATGCAAAATATTTTATACACCTTAGCCCTCAGAGACCTCTATCCACAGATTAGGTCCCATTACGTACTTAAATCAATTGAAACAAATGCCCTCAAGACTAGAAAACCTCAGTTGCTTGAAAGAGATTGTAACAGCAAAATGAAGTTGTACTTCTTGTATTTGTATTAAACAGCATCACTATTTACGCCAGCAGCTGCCAAGGGGTTAACACCCATCTCACAGAGACAGAGATCTTCCACAGATCCCAACTTTTAAGCCTTACTGTCAGGTTGTTGATGCCTTCAGAAAATGCTCCTATTTGCCTCACTGTTCCTTCTGAATCTTCCATCTACAAAAAACAGATCATGAATAATGAATCAATAATAAATTCACTGTATGCCACGACACGGCTGCAATCAAGTGCAACACATACTGTAACTGCTTGATTACGCTTAACATGGTCAGAGCAAGGGAGGAGCGTGTCCTGTGGGGAGAGGACAGTTAAGCCAGACCTCAAGGCACTGCATTCACAGCTTGAACCTTCTTGGGCTGAAAGATGCTCTTTTTAGTAATGCTTTTTGACTGTGAGAAGCCAGGACCTCCGTGGGCCAAAGCAAAAGGAAGGCTTTCGTGGGAAAAGGAGGGGTTTTCCACCAAACCTGACAGCACACTCAAGGACTTCAAACTGCTATAACTGGCTTACCTGCTCCAGCCTGTCGAAATCATCGTCGTCATATACCCGGATATCCAGGCCAGCCTTAAAACCCTTCTTCGACCTACTTCCAAAAGCCCGCCCAAGCTCCATAGGACACACATACTCTTCCACATCATCTTGCTTCTTCTTCCTCAGGCTCCCAAAATTGCTGAAGGCAAGTTTCTTTGGCTTATAAATGAAGAGAAAATTGACAAGACATTAGAGAATCAGAAAATAATTAAGAGATCTCTTGCTTTTGCACTGGTGTTTTAAAGATGAAGGGTCAAAATCCCTTGCTCTCCTAAACAAAGATCTCAAGTTCACAATAATTGCATCTGAAGGAATAAGATGTGTCCCCTCATACTACCATTATTAAGACAACAGCACTTAAAGGATCCCAAATGAGATCAGAATCCCACTGCATTATAAGCACTAAGAGACAGTCTCCCTCCCAAACAATTTATCATACAGATGGACAGACAGACAACACACTCAGTGCTACCTTGTCTGCGCATATGAGAGAGGTTGAGACATGGTGCTTTCATAACACAAGTGTCAAACCCAGATCTGTTAAGTCTTGTTCTCATGCTTCTTTCACTAGCAGCCAGCCCCTTTTTCAGACCTTACTGAACAGCCCTCCACACATGGATAAAACAAGCACACTGGAGATGTCTGTCTGGAAGTTCACGCACCAACCCAGAAAAAGTGACCTACCTTTACTTTGGCAGTTGCCGTTAAAAGGACATAGTCTGGGGCCTCCATGGCTTCACGTTTCTGCTGCTGGGCCTCCTGCCCAATGAGGAGGTTGAAATGAGTTGCTAAGTGCCGCCTCAGTAGTGTTTTGTTTGGGGGGATGTTCAGCAACTGTGCCATAGTTTCTACATTGAAACGAGGCTCCAAAACCTATGAATCAAACCACAGAGAATCCAGCTGAAGCCAGTAATGTCTAATGAGCTCTCAAGGACCTCAAGAGGCACACCTTTATCTTGGTCACTTCCTAAGGTTGCTTTGGGTTTTTTGTTTGTACTTTAGAGGAAACATTCAACAAAGAGGAGGAAAACAGAGTTAACTAGCTAAAGGATCCATAAAATGCTACCTCCAGGCTTTCGTTCTTGAGTTATAAATTAAAACAAATTGGCAGGTAAGAATAGATAAATGCACCCTTAATGCATGCAATGTGTAAAGCTGCCACAAAATTTTGACCCACCATCCTCTAATTGTGGAATATAGCCAGCAGAATGATGGAAAATAGACAGACACGTTTAGAGCAGGGATATACCTCTTAATCACCACAACAATATTCTGCAAGTATAAGTCTTGTCTCGAGTATCTGATGCTAGAGCAATTAAAAACAATCCTGGTTTGTCATTGAAACCACGAATTTTTACAAAAATTACAAGCCTTCCTCATAAAATAAAAACATATTCAGGTGTAGGAAGGAAGATAGTGGCTGTTTAACATGATAGCTGTGTAGAGCATCATAGCACAGAAGGTGGCGAATGTCATACCTAAGTTAAGTTGTGAAGTGAATACAGATAATCAAACCCACTGCTGCCCACACTAGTTCAGCCCAAGACACTAACATCCTTTGAACTACAGGGTAATAAATTTTGATAGTGACTTCTCACTAAGCAGAATAAGAAGATAAGGTGTGTGTAGCAAAGCTAATGTCAGAACTTTACTCTAGCAGGTCTCAGCCATGTTTTTTAAATAAAACGGAATGAACCAGCCTGAAACCTTACCATCAATCCCCCATGCACACCACTCCCCCGCAGGTTAGGTGCATACTCTGCCAGATCAACAGAGCGCAACCACTCCATCACACGATGATTGGTCCATTGGGTGACCTCGGAAGGTGTGACATTACTCTGAACAGAAAGAATAAGCAGTTAAGGAGACTTCTCAACTCAGTTGTCCCAGCCCTGATCTTTACTAAAACAAACCTCTCCTGCCCTTAATGAATGCAAGCCCACTTTGCTCTTGAGAAAAAAACAAAGCAAAACACCAATACAAATGTGGATGGAGACAGGTCCGAACAGTGGGCAGGTCTGTATTAGGCTTCATGTCATTTGATTACTCTGCTGTGCCCCAGGACAAATTGCAATTCAGCTAGCTCCTTGAGCTGCTGTGCTTTTTTTTGCAGATATGCATCATGAATCTAAATTCAAGAGTCTGGGTTGCTTCATCATCCGTTTCTCTGTCCAGCACATGCTGCTTTCAAAACAAACTGATGGCAGTCTTCTTCCTGGTAACAGGTCCAGACTCCTTTACACAGAAAACTTTGACACAGTGCACTATTGCCATGAGTCTTGTGTAACTCTCTCAAAAAACTGGTGATTGAGTTCAAGATAGAGGCATTCTATGATTCTATGATTTATGTTCCAGATAGCACACCAGAGCCCAGGCCAGAAGAGCCAGCTGTTGAATATGAAGAGAAGTGGGGAATTTGGCAAGGGAGACATGACTCTGGGGTCATGGCAGGTGAAGGAAAGTAAGTAGTGTTCCAGTAAGTAATGGCAGACCATGAGACTGAAAGAACAATATGAGAAAAAGGAAACTGAAAAAGGAACAGAATGAAATAGGAAGGAGAAGACAGAAGGAGAGAGCAGAGCAGGAATAATCAGAAACACCACGGAAAAAAAACTCTAGATGCTTCCCCTTCAAAGCTTCATCTTAAATCAGCACCTCATCAGATGGTCTCCTGCGCAGACAGTTGGGCTCAAAGTTATTTATTCTCAAAACTTGAATAGCTCTTTTGATGCTGAGGTGGTGGAGGACACTGACAACTTTCAAGGACAGCAAGTCATCCTGTTGAAGAGGAAGGGGGAATTAATAAACAAAACCATGCTTATTGGTGGAACCAGCACCCAATTGGAGGAAACTGCTTCAGACCCTGGCTTAAAATGGTACATCAGACACATTCTAGAGTAAGATTTTAATAACAAAAACCAGATGATTAACACCATCTGTCCCAAATTAAAAGCTTCCCGTGTGGCACTGTACTAGCTCCTGAGTGATGCTCTTCATGTAGTGTACAGAGCTTAGTAAAAGAAACCTGGGATAACAAGGAGGGGAGAGAGTGAGGTGACATTCTCAGCAATCTGATTAGAGCTAGGACAGCTTTCCAAACACAGTGCATCCAACTTACTTAGAATTTGCATTTAATTCTGCCAAAAGTTTTAATGCCACAAACATCCAGCTAGAAGTTTAACACAAAGCAATAAATTTGCCTGAAAAGTGAGGCATCCTGTATAGTTAGAATGAAAACAAGAGAGGGAAGAAGAGAAAGACAAAGGTCTGTCAGGTTGGTCTCCCACAATTGCAACTGATGAATGTTTTTTAAGCTGCTTACCACAACTGATGGAACAACAGATGACCATACCCAGGCTGCAAAGAGGCTCACCTTAAGGCTCTTTGTCCCCACCTCACCATCACTGTGTAACTCCTACCTTGTGCAGATACCTGCTATGGTTCAAGAGAAGGAGAGCAGGTTGGCCAGGAGCACCAATTCCTCTTCATATATGCCCAGGGAGCACAACGGACACACAGGCAGCCTGAGGGTTGCCTCCATGACAAGGCACTGCAAGGCCACTGTCAGTGTGGGATGAGCCACTTCTCACACATCACAGGGCAGAAGCCTGCAAGAGCACGGCCACACTTCTCCCTGCCATGCATCAGTGATACTAACAAAAGCAGCTGTCTCTCCAAAAGCTTGAGCCTCACAATGTTTTTTTACTAAAGCATTCACCTCACAGGGGACCTATTTTATAGCTTGCACAGACCAGCTGTTTAGGCTCCCACCTAAAAGTGGGACACCTTTCCAGTGTCCATGGAAAGTGTCAGACATCTCTTATGAGACTTTGTGCCATGCCAAGGAACGAGATAGTGCTTCACAGTGCCTGTCTCTCTGCACTGACCACAAAGCACAGATGATTGCCTTCAGCTTGACAGGTAGCTTTGAAATGTCAAGAGCCAGGAGAGGTTAGTTCTGGCTCCATTAAAGTTCCCTTTTCTCCTTCTTGCACTCAGGGCTCCTTCAGATCACCAAGGAGGGGAGAGACAGAGCCTCTGGCATCCAAGGGGGCTCAGCTCAAAGGACACAGGTGGTACATAATGGAGAAGGAGAAAGAAGGTTGAGATGAGACTTACAGATTAAAAAAAGGCTGAGGGTGCTACCAAACATCCTGACCTGCTGATGAGTTTGCCATCTACGCACCACAGAAGGTGTAAGTTTTTCCCACCTCTGGTTTCATCTCAACATCTTGATGTGGAAACTAAGCATATCATAACCAAAAGAATCAGATTCTCTCTCTTTTAGGGAGCTCAGCTTCTAAGAGGGGTATGTGATGGGCCTGCCTAGACTTCCCAGCTTGCTCGGTGCTGCTGCTGTTCCAGAGGAGTGCTACAGCCTCCCCTATGTTGCAACTGTGGTTCCATGCTTCAAGACTCGCACTCCTGCTAAAGTAGGCTCTTCAGTTGTCACTCAGTCCTAACTGTGCCATTAAGTGCATCAAGTCCAACCTTCTGCTGGTGCAAGTCGGCCGATTTGGATAAATGTTTGCATCCTTGTGCCAGAATTAACCTGGCTTAATATGTTTTAGTATTACCTATGTGTTACGAATACTGGACTCTATTTTGTCAGAATATTTAAGACTAGATTCTTCACTTTTCATTTAAAAGTGTTCATGTTCAGCTAAGCTTACAATCAATGTAAAAGTAAAGTTCCTATGTCATAGTTTGCTACTTTATTTATTATAAAATAATAAATATTTGCTACTTATTTTGAGTCATAGTAACTTCATGTGATTTTTAAAAGTATTTTTTTCCATACTTTGCATATAGGTGTATTTAGCTGGTCAAATACGGAATCTGTTGCTATAATTTCATGGTTAAACTGTCTAAAAATATCCCTAGTGATCTAAACAGAAAGCTAAAGGGAAGTCACAGGAGGAATACCTATTTAAAAGGCAAAGCTTCTGCTATACCTTGCTTCTCTGTCCATCTATTACTTCTCTATTTTTCTTAATACAAAAGAGACTGACTTGAGTAATACAAGTTCCCTCACATTACAGCGTATGCTGTGTCTTACTGTGCTTAATCCTCATCCAGTTAATACAACAGTAGTATACTCTCTCAACACAAGATCCAAGTTCAATGGAGCCTACTGTCATCAGATCTTCAAGATGTAAGAAGCAAAGGAAAGAAACTGCATCCTACTTTAATATTAATGTCTGAACTCAAAAAAAATAAAGGAAACAAAGAGCAAACCCCACTACATAAGCACCAAGCATTTAACATCTGACCAAAATGGACTCAAGAGCAAAAGTCATGCCAGGTAGCAAGAGTCACGCAGTTCCTCAGCAGCTCTGTGCTTGTCTCACATGAAGAGTCAATGGGTCAACCCTAGCCTTCCTCCTTGTGCTATTGTAAAGCCTACACAAAATAGATGCAAATGTGGCATAAAATGGTAACTTTTTATCCTGCCCATGGCATGGCTCATGAGAAACAGGAGTGTCATCGATGTCTTTGTTATACAGAAGGAATTAATATTAGCAATGCTCAGTTTGCATTTGTGCCTTTAGAAAAGAACAAAAGCCTTGTCTCATCTTACCTGAGATCTTAGAAAGGAAACCTGTTGGGTTGGCTTCACCTGGCCAGCAGTACACTGGGGAGCTGATGGTGGCGATAAGCATTTTGAAATACACTGTGCACAAGCTATTAAATGTACCCTGTTTTCAAACAAGTTGGCTCTTAAAAACTGCAATTTTCTTCAAAGGAAATTGCTTGGGTTTTCTTCACATAAGCATGCACATGAACAGGTAAGCAGACCAAATGTTGGCTCACTAAAGAAAACATTCCACCTACTTCTATTAGTTAATAACAACCTGAAGAGTAAAGGCCCAGCTGCAAGAACTGCACCCACAGAATTTGCACACTTCTGTGTATCTATAAACAGTGCCTGAGCACATGAGCATCACACACAACTCTTGAGCACAAGATTGCCCATTTCTCATGCATGAGTCTGGACTCTTGCTTGTTATGTTTGCTCTTCCTCCTTAAGACAATATCTTTAAAGCTGGAAAGAATATAGGAAATACTTGCAGGCCTTCTGTTTTCTACAGGTTACAGCTATTAGCTTAACATAGGACAGCAACTAAAGTTTCAAGAAGTCCTTTAAACACTGCAATGAAGCACATAGATGACTACGGCATTCTGGCATGTCCTTTTAGTGGTAGCAATACCTCTGACACTGACCTCCTTCAGCCTTCTCCCTACAGTCATCCAGAAAATGTGAAGATCCAACTTGTGAATCATTCAACAGCTTTGAAACTATTGTCAGAAAGTCCCATGAGACACACATGATGTCTAGCTGTTGGCAAGAAGTCTGTACTTTTGGTACACTAAATGTGCATAGGTGTTTCCCCTATGATGCTGCAAAAGCAGGTAAGAGTAAACTCCACCTTTAGCTTCCCTTCAGTAGATTCAATCATCTGTGACAAACTCGCATGCTGAGGTGGCAACCGTGTTCTGCTCTGAAACTTTTAACCCAGGCCCAGAGTGGGTCTGCTGGCATCCAGACAGATACAATTTTCAGCTCTAGGAACCTACAAGCCATATCACTATGATCCAGATCTCTGTTCCTTGTGGACACTGGAGCCCTTAAGACACCTATTCAGTCCCGCTCTCCCTGGACAGACATAAGAATGGCTGTCTGTGTCATGAGAGCTGCTCAAGCAGCCACAGAGCCTCTGGAGCATCCCAATAATCAGGACCCCCGATCTGGCCAGTAGTCACACCTGCAGGAGCACTGAGGGAAA